GGAATTTTTTCTACTTTTGTGAGAAGTTTACCTAAGAGCTTGTATTTGATGTGTTGAGCGGCCACTGTAAATGCAGGAGATAGAAACTAAGATAAAGAAGACCATTTTCGGAGAAGTAAAGGTTGCTTCACTTCACATTTAAAAGAAATATTCAACCGATATGAAATCTTGCGACGGCGAAAAAAGAAGAACCCAAGTGAAGGATAATCTACCTGAAGTGGAAGAAGACTTTGAAACTTAAAGGAAAATAATATGATATAGCAAGAAGTCGTGTGTAGGATTTTTAAGATGAGCCCGGGAGGCTGTCTTTGACAGCTGTTTAATGATTTTCTTAGCAGTAAACGTCTATAAACTTCAGATCGTAGGCGCGCGCGCGAGCACACGCAATTGTCAGCGGTAGCTAAAACAGATCATGAGCAAATGTCGATCTTAGAGAATCCAGATTCTTAAATGCGCGAGAACGCGCGTGGAAATTGCTAAACTCACAAAAGCTATTGCATGAAAACAAGTCCGGTGACCCCTTCTTTTTATTGTTCCAATATGATAATAACGTCGAAAGAAATCATTAGAAAAAACAAATAGAAAATTCTACAGAAGGAAATTTGCGATGTCTGAAATTTGCCTTTTTTCTAGATTTTCTGAAATTCCGCTCCGTATAATTTTTTAAAAATCTTTTTGTATTTTCCTTTTCAAGTGCCAAAAGCAATCACTGAAAAAAATCAGGGGGTCACCGGGTTAGTTTTCGAATTATTTAAGCCACAAGCTAGAAAATGCGTCTGAATAAGCCTATGAAAGCGTTGCCATGGAAACTACTAGTGACGAAATGACACCTATTTTTGGATAACCAATGATTATATAATTCAACCCCGTAAAAGTGTTCAACTGGCCTTGGTCAGTCTTTCTGTTGTGTTCTTTCAAAGTTACAAAGATGAAAACCGGTATGAGCCACCTTAATTCGCACTTTTCTCTCGCGCGCGTCACGCAAGAATGACCTGTTCCCCGCGCGAGGAAACTGGTACGAGCCACCTTAAACCGGACGCGCTACATCGCTTGCACGCGAGACACCCCTGAAGGTGCATGGTAACCTAAAGTCAGTTTTCCCTCCTTAGTGGTCAGTCATCAGTTATCGGATTTTCGCGTATCAGTCAACTTTGGACTATGAATTTCTTTTGTTTGCATAGGTTTTCTTGAATAACTTGACTAAAAATCGCATGATTGATTGAATAGATATACCAGAAATGTAATAGTAATAGAAATAGTAACAGTAATAATAATCAAATTTTAATGTCTTTACGCGGGGCATGGTTACCCATATTGCCCGATCCAGAGGCTCATGTATGAAACGCAAGACAACAACCCACCCATCCCACCCCAGGGGAGGACATCTATCACACAGTAATCTCGAGCGTGGGAAATTGACCTAGGTCATAACCTTCTGATAATACCAACGATCGACGTTGTTTTCTGGTGTGGCTAATTACATTTTATGGTACTGGATGTGTTGTGTCAAGCAACTGCAAGCGGTATAGCGAGGGACTCCAGAAGACGAAAAATTCATAAAAATAATTTTTAAACGGCTTTTATGGTCCGGAAGTTTTTTAGGTGGATACTGCTCGTATTTTATTTATTATTTCGTAATTCAAATTAATTGTATAAAATATATGTCAATTCTTTTAAATTATAAACTACTTAGACGTCAAACAGAAGACGAAGCGGAAACTTTTATCCTTTTATCTTGCTTGTACGCTACACGGTGCTTTGCTCCTAAAGTATAGGCGTCAGGACCCAACATACAGAAAAAATAAATGAATGAATAAGTCAGTAATCTTATAGCTTTAGAGAATTCTTCACATTTTTCAAACTTCTCTCATTCGCAAAGTTTACGCAAAGGAAAAACTAATTCAGATATCCATAACAGGTCTCCTTTCATCGGGCCGTTTTTCGTCAAGTAAACATTTGACGGCGTATAGTGACTACATTGTAATCCCAAACTCGAAGGATATCACTGATTTGTTGTGGGCTTGTGTTCGTACATGACTGTAATTTTATTATAAGAATCTCGAAACTAAGCTACGCAATCCCCAGGTAGAGACTTGTGCCACTGTGTTGACGTACATTAGCCTCAGTGGATGTCTTCACATTAGGTCGGCCACTATAAGGCGAGAGCAACGCACGGTAATATAGACCTTAAGTAAACCCCGACGGCGACGGCAAGAGGACTTAGAGAAACAAAAGATCTAATTGGCAGAACAATAGCTCAGCGCGTGCATTTTAAAACTTAGTACATTTCTTAGCCGTACTTTTCAAAAAATCACCAAAATTTGTGTCGTCTACACTGAACCGAAACCGCGAGGGTAAATTATTTTAATTTCCATTTGGAATTCGACACTACTTTTATACGTTGTGCTGAGGTTGAGTTGTGGCGCCGTATGAGATGGTAAACACATGCAACCACTTTCGAATTTCTAATTAAAAGTAGAAATTCATTTTCTAATCAACAACGTCTTCCATGGCGTTACCGTCCTGACTGCTGAAGGTCCCTAATGAGTGCGACCCATACTGGTCACCTATACTGGTGGCCTTACTGAGAGGGAGAAAGGGAGAAAGCCTTACCTTAACAAAAAAACTTAGCTGGGTTTACTATCACTCCTTTCTTATCAACCTGTACGTGAACGTTATTGGTCATACCGAAGCCGTACTCAGGCGCCATGTTGGTCATGTAACCAATGAAAGTCCCGGCAGAAACGTAACGTCCATTGTAAACTCCCTTCTTTACGTAAAACAACTTAACGCCATAACCTGATGGCAAAATGTTAGAAATGTGTCATCTCATCCCATTACAGCCCCTAATATCCCATTTGTTCCTTCTCGGGAACGAGNAAACTGTTTGGGGCTGCGTCGGTGGGTGTAACGAAATAATTTGAATATATCAACAAAATTGAAATGGTAAATTGGCCACCGTTACGATTATAAAAGCTGACGTTTCGAGCGTTAGCCCTCCGTCATTCGCTCCGACGAAGGGCTAACGCTCGAAACGTCAGCTTTTGTAATCATAACGGTGGCCAATTTACCATTTCAACTTTGTTGATATATTCAAATTATTATATAAAAGGTACTCTACAATGTTTGTAACACCGCGAGATTTTCCAGTTTTGCAATCGATTTTCATTGTCACAAATTAACAAGAAAAAACACCATGACTTTTAAAACATCTAACTTTGATCAACTGTCAGGTTCAATGTTTACGTTCTACCTTTCCATGCTCCAGTTCCTAGAAGGTGAATCCCAACGTTATGCGGTCTCTTGCTTTTCAAGTACGGTCTGTGCGAATGGAAGACTTTTGGCGGGAAATGGTGGGTACACCTTCGAACCAGCAGAGCACATGACATCAATTCCTTTGTGGGTCCAGCGAATCTTACCTTTCTTACAACACCTGCGTCGGAGGACAGTGAGCTCAACACAAACCATTGTTTGCATGAAAGAACCCAATTAGAACCCTTGTAAAACAGGTTCTCTTCCTTCCACCCCACCCCACCCCCTCCTCCTGACACTGATTTCTATCATTAACATCTCCTGCTTGGACATTATGGGGATAGAGAAGTCGCAGACCTCTTATTTTCAGATTATCGCCGAGGCCCAGTCGACCCAAATGCCTTGCCTTATTCTATAGAAGAAACGAGATTTCTAGATTGCTGACGGTCAAATTTCGAGAGGAACCGCATCTTTTTAACGTAGAGATCATAAAATATATTCGAGGAAAAGAATCAATGAAGATGCGAGGAAAACAAGCAAACAACAACCAAACAAACAACTTTTTTTCTTTTCTACGTGGGCACATGCTTACATCTACAAATAAAGACCAACCTTTTACTTAAATTTCAATCTCAATGAAAAATTCTTGTTATAATTATTATGGTTTGACGCTTATCACGATTTCAAAAGCAACAGAGGGGTTTAGATATCTCGAAAAGAAGCGATCCTCTTATAAAGAAGAGACAGCTATTACGAACGGCTGCTGAGAGAAATCTAAAAGTAAGGAGTTGGTAAAGAAAGTCTGCAATACGTTCTCTCCAAAATTATCAAGTTTCAAATGAATATAGGAGGTAAGTTTCTAAAGAAACTGTGGTGCTGCGTTCGTTGATCATTCTACTAATTTATTCGTGTTTTTTCGTCACCATGTTCCCACCAATAGCGTAGCTCCACTTTCTGCATAAAACCCACACACGACCTCTGACGAAGAGCTAACGCTCGAAACGTCAGCTTTTTAACGCCTTACGGTGGCCAATTAACAAATTCAACTTAGTTGATATTACCAAACTATGAAGTTTCAACCCCGGTTCCCATTTCCTTGAAGTTCTGCGATTGTACAGAAATAATATTTCACAAATTCAAGGCTGCTAAGACAAACAGAAAGGAGAAGAAAGAGGAGATTTCTTGGATGACTTCCAAGAGTAAAGCTAAACATATTTACCTTGAGGCTCCATAAGCTCCACTGCCAAATCTATCCCATGCTCGTATCATGCTAGAGGGTTGCTGGAGCAGATCTGAGCAAAGCACTTTTTTTTACACTCTTCACCTAGAGATTATAAAACACCAATAGAGTCCCGGCTTAGTTTTTGCAATCTGCAGTTCTCTCGTACTAAAAAATGGTAGGGCAAACAACTTCCAGTTATCACAGTAGATACGTCTTTGGAACCCTTTGAAGGTTGTAAATAAAAATAAGCGGATAAGGCTGTTTCGTTTCGAGGCCATCAAGACTTCCTTATCCTGAATTGAAAATGACGTCTGGTCGAAGTCGTTTGCTTTAGATCGAAACTATAGTTGAAAGATCTTGGCAGAATGTCCCTT